GATACAGTCCAAGTTTCTTACGATTTCATCGCCATACCATCCGCAGACAGACGGCCAGACTGAGCGTCTTAACCATATTGTAGAGCAACTACTCCTCGCAGCCTGCAAGGACGAAATCTCCAAGTGGGACTTGCATCTACCCGTCCTGGAGTTTGCCTACAACAATGCTGCTCACGCCGCTACTCAACAGACGCTGTTCTTTGTTACGGACGCCACCCGATCACAGCACAACAGCCAACCATACCAGCCACAGTCCAACCCGCTCATGGTTTCATCACGACCATGCACAAACTTTGGGGTCGGACCCACAAGCGCCTTCTCGACATTCAGCAACAACCGAAGCGCCACCCGATCGCCACCGCACAGACCACACCATCACCGTGGGAGACCGAATACTGCTCGACACGCGCAATCTCTATATCGGCCATCTCCCATCCAAACTACGACCTCGCTTCTGCGGGCCTATCCTCGTTGAAGCAAAGGTCACTTCATTCACCTTCCGCTTCAACCTACCAGCCACTTGGAAGATCCATAACGCCTTCCATACCAGCTTCTTAAACCCTATGAAGACCAAACACGCTCTACACTGAATGCCAACCACCGTCGCCGCCCGTGTTCGTCCACGCCATGGGACAAATACGTGCTCGGGCACCGTCGTCGTCAAAATGGCACTCTGGAGCTTCTTCTTTGCTGGAAGGGTTATGATACTTCTGAGGCTGCTTCTCTGAATTCGACATGGGTAACGCCCGTCGTCCTCCGTCGCGACTACCTTGTCAAGCGGGGTGTTACTTCTACCACCCAGCTTTGAGGGGGGGAAGTGTGAGAGTACGACACCGTTACACCAATTTCCCCTTTCCATATTTCGTTTCTATTTCATTCCTCTTTTTATCCTGATTCCTTTGGTCTTTATCTCATCTCATTTGGTTTCCTATTCCTCCTTTTCCATTATCCTTTGGTTTATCCTGTTATTATGATTATATCACCGACCAGGCTCGGGATGTACTGGCGCGCTATATCTAGTGTAATCCTGCCGTAATCCTTTAAAGCCAATAGCCTCGCGTGGCTATACGCAGGGTGATTCTATTTCTAGAAGGGTCTATTCTCTTTGGATAGGATAAACCTGGTTACCTGATGTATTATGGAAGTATAAAAGCACCTTGTACTGATTGATAGTGCAACATTGAGCAAACCTTTCCTCGGGACATTCGATCATGTGACAAAATGACTAGCAACGTATTAGGGCATGACTTAAAAGCACATGTCGTATACAATGACTAAGGTAATATACGCTGTAAATTGGTTGGGAACTAGTTTTTTTTTACCTCTTTGAATCTTGGGGAGCCTTATCAAGCATATACAAACTGCACGGAGGACGGTACTCCTGGACTAACCCTTAGGGCATATTCGTGCAAACCAATATCTGTATCAAAATCGCGTGATTTCCAAGATAATCTCTGTCGTTTTGCAGCTTGGGTATATATTAGACTCTCTCAAATTCTAGCGCCCGAGGTGCCACAACGATACGCTCCGAAGCCAATTGTGACTCGCATTTGCGAGGTCTTCTGTACACTACACATCAAACATTCCAACCGGAACAAAATTTACAACCCATCCACGTGCTCTGAGCATCTCAAATTGGTTGACCGAGAATTCTAATCTGCCCGAACAAAGGTTGGGGGGCCCCCCAGACCCACCCGTTGCTATTGACGTGCGTTATGACCAATCGGCGCGTTTCGCTTCGACGCCACGCGACACTCGCTACGAGGTGGGTATGGCCTTGGCGCGTGCGTATAGGCATGACCAATTAGTCTCCCTGTGTGCGATGCTGAATTGCGTGGCCAAGAAGTATGTGTCAGAACTTAGTCACAAACCACAAAGTTACAAGGGCTTGTTAAGTAGCGGGTAAGTGCGCCCACAACCCCCCAAGCAGATAAATGGCCTGTAGCCTTTCTCCAAGGATCTCAAGGGCAACCCAGCAGGTCTCTCGACAGTATTATCTCAGGTTTTTATGCTGAATGTAGAGATCAGACTCATGTTTGTATATACATGGCCCGCGTTATTTTATACGCTGGTTTTATCGACGGTTCAATTTGCAGGGGGCTGACTCCCTCGGGGGCATCACCAAAGAGGCCGACTGAGAGACCCCTGGAAAAAGCAACGACCTTCCTTTTCTAGACGACCTATGTTTACAATATGAGATCCCCCGTTTTGGTACTATCAACGAATAAGTATCAGATTCAAACCTGTTAATATAAGCTAGGTAGCTACGGAAGCCATAGAATGGCGTAAGGTTTTAGGTGGGAGAGAAAAATGTCGAGAGAGAAGAGATTGAGATTAGAAGAGAGAGGGATACAAGAAGGGGGGTTGTCCCCTCTATAGTAGGATATAGTAACACATACCAAGCCTACAATTATATATATATAATATATCATTTAACACACCCCCTAGGCTTAGTAGTCACAAGCCCACCCCACATGCAATACCTCTAAGCCTAGCACCCCCATACCCTGCAGCAGAGGTGACTGCAGGGAAGGAAGGCGCTAGGCATCCTTGAGCTACGGCGGGGTGGAGCCAGCTGGCGTGGCGAGCTGGGACCGACGCGGCGAGCTGGGTCCGACACGACGAGCTGGGTCCGACGCAGCGAGCAGGGTCCGACACGACGAGCTGGGGAGGCGCGGCGAGCTGGAGTGCGGGCTTGCTGCCTGGTACCTAAACCAGTGCGCGGCCCACTGCCGCCCGTGCGCTGACGCGACGACGGCGGCACGACGAAGCGCCACGTCGAGGTTGCCACGGCAGCACGACACGGCCGCCACGGCGGCGCGGAAGTAACGAGAAGGGAGGGGGTACGCGGCGGAAGCGTGAGGAGGCGGCCCAGCAGGGCGGACCTCCGGCTCTGAAACCATGTTAAGATAAGCTATGTAGCTAGGGAAGCCATATAATGGCGTAAGGTTTTAGGTGGGAGAGGAAAATGTCGAGAGGGAAGAGATTGAGATTAGAAGAGAGAGGGATACAAGAAGAGGGATTGTCCCCTCTATAGTAGGATCCAGTAACACGTACAAAGCCTACAATTATATATATAATATATAATTTAACAAAACCTTCTACCGGCTCGTGCCTTTAAAGGGTGTCCGAAGTAGGAGAGTAGGGTTTCGGAATGTCGCGGAACCAGGAGATCACTATATTAAACCGTTAAAAAAAAAAAAAAAAAAAAAACAAAAAAAAAACAACAACAACAACAACTACCACCGTACCGTACCTTATCGTGGCGTCTTCGGACGTCACAAATCCGAATACTTCGGACACCCCCTTATGAATACGGAAATGCTCTTTGCTGACCCAAAAATGGTCAAGGTGCTAAATGGCCACGGGCTAGATGTAATCTGGTGTTGATATGGGTTCGTTCGTAAGATTAAGCCCTTAGAGATAAGTAGATGCTTGAGCTGCGTAGAAGGAAAATGTGTGAAACTAGCTAGGATGCTAGGAACGGTAGACGGCCATGGAATGGCGTGAGGGTTTAGCTAGGAGAGGAAGTTACGAGAGAAAAGAGAACGAGAATAGAAGAGAGAGGGATACAAGGAGGGGGGTGGTACCCTCTACAGTAGGTTTCAGTAACACCTACCAAGCCTACCAATTATATATCAAAGATATAATTTAACACACCCCCTAGGCTTGGTAGCCAAAAGCACACCACACACGGGACACAAAGCCACACACACCCTCTAAATCTAGCACCCCCATACTTAGTAGCACCGACGGCTACACCAGCCCGGTCAACCCCTCCGCGCGTAAGGCGGCGACTTCGACAGCAAGGGCTGCGGCAGCGTCGACAGCGGCGGCGTGGACCCAACGCAAGCGGCGGCGGCGGCTTTGATAACAGCGGCGGCGGCGGCGGCGGCGGGGCTCGCAGCACTCGGCGGCGGGGCTCGCACCACTCGGCGGCGTGGCTGGGCTCCGCAACGGTGGGACGGCCAGCGGGAGTCAGCGATCGGCTGCGGCGAGGAAGAGGGGACGCAGGGAAGGGGGGCGGGGCTTCTACAACATGCCCGTGGCTAGCGTGCGGGCGTCAGGACCGGCGACGCCTAAGACGTCACGCGACCAGCTGCCGCACGTCGACGCCGCACGTAACGCCGCCTCCACAGCGCAGTGTCGATGCCGTGGCGATACGTCGACGCTTCGACGGCAGCACGACGCCGTCGCCGCGGTGTGGCGTCGACACCACGTGTCGGGGCTGCGACGGCAGCACCACGACGCCGACACCGCAGCGCGGCATGGCCGCGACGGCGACACGAAAGTAGCGGAAATGATGACTGAAGTACGAGTACCCGGCGGAAGCCTGGGGAGCACGCCCCGAAAGGGCAACCTGCTTTGTTACCATATCAAAGTTAACAAATGACTAGAACCATGGCATACAAGGGAATATAACCTAGTGGGTTGTACTCTCTAAGGCACAACCTTTGTAGTCTATAAGAACATACAAGGATATGTTTGACAAAAGTCTCTAAGAGAGATTTAGATACTAGAGCTGAAGGCGTGTCCCACATACATTTTCCGTTCGTTTCTGGAGGTGCAGTAGGGTACTCCATGGTCTAGAACAGTTTTTCAGATCCACCGCTTTGGAATGTTATGTACCAGACTCAATCGTACGAAGAGAAATGTAAACAAACCTGGGGGACAATCCCAAAGCATTACACTTATTTTGTAATTTACCAGAATGCAGCGTGTCGGTTTTGGTAGTCATTTAGGCTGCCCAGCATAACGGCCGATCGACCACAATCTTTCTGTTGTCTCTGCTAACGGCTGATCAACGGTTGTCATCACCTGTCCGCCCAACCCTAACCCAACGCCTTCCATATGGTACTGTCCTGTATTCCCTTTTCGCCGTGCTGGCGGCCGCTTCTAGCCTCTCCGCACCACCATTGGTCCTGCGCCTGCGCAGCTCGGCTTCACGCGGTGGGGGGATGATGCCTTGGGCGTGTCCTTTCCGCAAGAGTCCCCTCTGCTGCGACGATCGGAAACCTAGATCCTCTCCGCTGCTGTGGTGCCCGCATACCCTCTCGACATGGTTCCTAATTAGTGGCGTTGACTTTTTCTGTGGAGGGTCTTTCCGCATCGGGGCTTTTGATATATCGTTATTCCCTGACACTCGACTCACTGGCCTACTTTACGGATCCCATTGCGTCAACGTTGTTGCACCCCACCGCGAACCCTGGTTTTTGCGCCACTCCAGCCGCTAGCTCTCCACCCGCGACGTAGGAGCAGATGCTATTTTTCCAATTGGCATTTCAGCTATGGCTCTAGAACAGCGAGGCGTTCTTTATCAAGCGCTATAATTTCCGCGAGCAACAACCGGTTTCTGCAGCTGCTTTTCCACCGCCCTTTCCTTGTCGCCTTGGCGGGCCGAGCCGTGGCGAGAATTGACGCAGAGCAAAGGCGGACTGGTTCAAGCCGCCCTATTGTTGCCCGCAACGCCCTCACGCCAGCCCGAATTCCGCGTTCTCCCCTGGGCTGCCCCCATGGGCTCCGCGCACTCCCACTTGGATCACAGCGATCACGCTGCGCCACACGGGCCCCTTCGCCTGTCTCCGGCAACACTTTCGCGAAAGGTTTGCACGCCGAGCAGGGAGAAGGAGCATCAGGAAGGGTTTCCCGCGCTTTCTGTCCCGAGCAGCGGGTTAGAGGCGAGAGATTCAAGATGTCACGAGGGAGGCGACGAGGGTGTCGACCGAGGGGGAGTTGTTGAGGAAGCGGGAGGAGAGGACGAAAGAAGCGAGGTAGAGGAGGAAGAGGAGGAGGAAGAGGAGGAGGAAGAGGTGGAGGACGAGGAGGAGGAGGAAGAGGAAATCATGGTGAGCTTCGAGTATCACTGCCGCCGGGAGAAGCGGGGAGGGTCGCGGAAGGGTAGTGGGGTGGATGAGACGAGTGGGAGTGGGCAAGACGAAGGCACGGATGATGAAGGGGAGGACGGGGAGGACGGGGAGGACGGGGAGGAGGACGCCATGGAGGTAAAGAACCATGCGCAACGCGCGGACACTGCGCTTCACAGCGGAGCGCCAGCACAGTCCGACAGGCCTGCAGCGGGACCGGGCATTGCGGCCGCCGCGCTTCCTGCCGACGGCAAGTTTCTGCACGGAGTACCAGCAGCGGAAGGAAGGCCAGCGTTTGCACCAGCGTACGGCCATTCGTTGTCGGCCTCCTCTAAATTCCTCCCTCTCCAGTCGCCGCTCGACCCCTCCGACGCGCGCTGCGGTCTCTTCTCCTCCGCCTCCATGGCGTCGGGCGCGGCGCGCTACCACCGTCGCAAGTCCTTTTCTTTTCTTTCCGGCGCCGCGCTCAGCGCCAATGCGACGCTCGCGAACTCCATCCTCTGCGCCAACACCGCGCGCGGAATCTTGGGGGACATCGACTCCCCCAAGACGTTCCGCCGCATCGGCTGCAACGCGTCCTACGCTCATCCCGCCGTCCCCGCGTGCTGCGCGCCGGCCTGCCCGCTCTCCTCCTCCTCCGCCTCCTCCTCCGTTTCCTCCAATCCGCTCTCCTACTGTTCCGCTTCTTCCGCCTCCACCACCCCCTCCTCCGCCTCCGCCGCTTCTTCCGCGTCCCCCACGTCTGGTGCGAGCTTCTGGTCCTCCATGCTTTCCGCGGGCGGCGGAAGCACGGGCGGGGGGCCCATTCTTTCCGCGGAGTGCAGCAGCTCCGCGCCCGGGTCGCTGGGGCAGAGCTTTCTGCTGGCGACGGACGTGCAGGTGGCGGGAGGCGCGGCGGGCGAGGACCGCGTGCAGGCGGTGTGCTCCGAGGCCAATGGGTGGGTGTTCTGCGGCGTGTACGACGGATTTAACGGCCGCGATGCCGCGGATTTCCTGGCCGTGAACCTGTACGAGAGCGTGGGCACGCACCTGCGGCTGCTGCAGTGGCAGGAGCAGCACGCGGCGCAGCAAGAGCAGCAGCAGAAGCAGCGGCAGCGGCACCACCATCACCACCACCAGAAGCAGCAGCAGCAGCACCATCTCTGGCACATGCTCCCTCCCCCTCCGCCTGTCTCCTTCCTCCCCCCCTCCCCCTCCACCGCCGTGCCCCCGCCGTCTCTGCTGCGCACGGCGAACCCGAGCCTGAGTCAGAGCATGCCGTCGCTGCCCACCGTGTGCGAGGAGGCCTCCCCCGCCCTCTCGCCCCTCACCTCCGCGCTGCTCGCCATCCCCAGCGCGGAGGCGGGCGGAATCGGTGGCGAGGGGGGACTTGGGAGGTTGGGCGCGCAGGCTGGCGCACAAAGGGTGGACGGAGAAGGTGCAGAACGGGCAACAGCAGGGGCAGCAGCAGGGGCGGGAGAGCCGAGCGAGGCACAAGGTAACGGTGTGGCGGAGGGAGGTAGCGCGGGCAGGAGAGAGGTAGGGGTGGAAGGTGCTGGTGGCATGGGCTGTGATGAGGTCCGTAGTGGACGGAGTGGGGCTAGTAACAGACCAGATAGAGGAGCTTATTGCCACGAATCAGCAACGGCCTTTTTGCCAGCAGCAATGAACGAACCATGGCAGCCAGCAACAGCAGCAGCACCAGCAGCAGGAGCAGCCGCACAAGCAGCACCGTCTGCTTGCTCGCCCGCCTCCTCTCCCACCACGCTTGCCCCTGCTCCCCCCACACCGTCTGTAAATGGGACGGTCCCCGCCGAAGCCTCATCGAAACCGACTGCCACAGGCACGCCGGTGGCTGCAGGCACGGGCACAGAAGCAACCGCCAGCCCCGCGGTGGCGCCGGGCGCGGCGGTGGAGGCGAGCGCGGCAGCAAGCGCGGCGGCGACGGCGGAGTTCCAGGTGGCGGTGCTGCGGTGCCTGCAGCGCGCGCTGGCGCACACGGAGCGCGACTTCCTGCGCATGGTGGAGGCGGAGATGGAGGAGCGCCCCGACCTTGCCATGGTGGGCTCGTGCGTGCTGCTCGTGCTGCTGCACGGCCGCCACCTCTTCACGCTCAACCTCGGCGATAGCCGCGCCCTGCTCGCCACCTGGGCCGCGCCCGGCGAGGGCGTGTCTGTTAGCATGGGCGCCGCGGACGGCAGTGACGCCGACAGCGAGGGGCCGGGCGAGGGGGTGGCAGGGGGCAGGGGTGATGGGACGGGGGCGGGGGCGGAGAGAGGGGGGTTGAATGGAGACGCGCTTGCGGGGGAGGGAGGTGGCAGGAAGGGGGAGAGGGAGCGGAGTGGGTTGGAGGGGTTGAGAGCGGTGGTGCTGTCGGAGCAGCACTGTGTGGACTACGAGCCGGAGCGGCAGCGTGTCGTGGCAGAGCACCCGCAGGACGCCAGCGCCGTGGTGGGCAGGCGCGTCAAGGGCAAGCTGCGTGTCACGCGGGCCTTCGGCGCCGGCTACCTCAAGAGCGTAAGGGCAAACCTCAATGGCGTGGGCGTACTGAGGGGCAGCTGGGGGAGATGAGCTAAGAAACTAGGATGAGGGCTGAGTGTGGTTGGATGGGGAGACTTGGGAGGGAAGGGGAGCAGAGATGGTTGGAGATGGTTTGCTTCTTCTCCTCCACCAGCCTTCTCGCCTCCCCCTCCTTTCTTCATCTCACCCCTCCCTGCCCCTCCCTCCCCCATCTCCTCCTCACCACACCCCATTCCTCCCCCCCCACGCGGTGTGCCCCTCCCTCCTTGGCAGGAGCGGCTGAACAACAAGCTGATGGGCATCTTCCGCGTGCGCGACCTGGCATCACCGCCGTACGTGTCCAGCGTGCCGTACGCCATGGCACGGCGCCTGTGTGCGCGCGACTGGTTTGTGGTGGCGGGCAGCGACGGGCTGTTTGACTTCTTCAGCAACGACGAGGTGGTGCAGCACGTGGCGGCCTTCCTGCTCGCGCACCCGCACGGTGACCCCGCCAAGCACATGCTCGAGCAGCTGCTGCTGCGCGCCGCCAAGCAGGCCGGTACGCACGCACTGGGCTGCCACAAACGGGTACTGGCAGCCAATTCCGTGCCCTAACAAAGCCTATGGCTTAGCGCAAAAGCCCTGCCCTTCCACCCTGCGTGTTTTTGTGCTTTTATGGCACCTCAGACCCCTGTGTGTGTCTTCATCTCCTGCACTCCACACTGCCTCCTTCACCTGCTGCTCCCCTCCCCTCCCCTCCCCCCCCCCCCCCCCCCCCCCCCCCTGTTTCCCACCCCCACGTGTGTGTGCGTGCATGGCAGGGCTGGGCGTGGAGGAGCTGCGCACCATCCCGTCGGGGCGGCGCCGCAAGTACCACGACGACGTCACCGTCGTCATCACGCTGCTGGGACCCGCTGCCCGCACCTCCACCGCCTCCACCCTGCACTGACCCACACATACGCACGCACGCACAAGGGCACAGCCCCATCCCCACGTGGGTTGGGTGCTGCCGATCCCAGTCTTCTCCCCTCCCAGCCTATCCCCCCCCCCCCCCCACAATTCCTTCCTCTCTCTCTCTCTTTCCCCTGTCTTCTCCCCTTTTCCCCCTCCCTCCATCCGCCCTCACCTCTCCCCGCCCAGCCTTCTCCTGTCAGTGGCTCTGCTACCATGTGAACATGTGCTTGGCCACACAGTTTTGCTTGTACAGTCATCCACGCCTCCTCTCCTCCCTCCCTATACCGTACCCCATGCTGCCTCAACTTACCCCTGCACAGTGCACACCGAGCATATCACAGCACCTCATGGCACACACGCCCTTCCTCCTCCCACCATTTCCAACATTTCCAATGGACACTCTCCGCTCACAACAATGCCAAATTTTGCCACCCTCCAAACTTGAATGAGATTCTATGATGGCCGGCCAATTTCGTCGCGACACCAGGCTATAGCTCTTGGCCTGTTATTCTGAGTAACCTGCTGCATGTGTAGTGTTCTGCAGAAAGGCAAAAGAATGCTGCATTCATTTTTTGTAGCTGTTAGTGACTAGTCTTATTAATTTTGACCACTACCTATATTATCTTGTTATGGCAGCTATTTCTCTACTACTTTGTCTAGTCTGCTCGTCCTTATCCGATGGTTTCCTCTGTTCGCGTAACGAATTACATAATGGGCACACTGCTCCCCAGGCATACCCCACAGTCGTGTATTCTCGCCACACAACTTGGGTCGCACAGCGGAGTTGATCACGTCACCCTCGTCATGGCGTCGTGCCGCTCAGCATTTCTCAGCCTCCGCGCTCCAACTGCGCCACCGCAAGGCGGGCCTGGCCTCTCTCCTTCCACGCGCCGCCCACACGCTTTCCCGGCCGCGTCGCCCCAGTCATACCGTACCGCCGCTGACGTGTCAACGCCACGTGGTGGCTCGCGCGGGCCTCAGCGGGCGCCGACCGCAGCAGCATGGGGTCGCCGCGAGTCCTCAGGGCTGCGCGCTGTCCGAATCAGCGCGCCGCATAGGAGCGCCGCCGTCGGGACGGAAGGCCCCGGGGGGCAGCAGCAGCGGGGATGCGCCACGCGCGCCGGGAAGGCAGGGTTTGGGGAGGGCGGCGGGAGGGGAAAGAGCAAAGGGAAAGGGAAGGGCAAAGGGAAGGAGAAGGAGAAAGGGAAGCGGAATGGGGAGGGGAAGCGGCGGGGCGAGAATGAGACGGTCACGGTGGCTCTGCACGACGAGGTGAGGCTCCCCGCACGCGCCGCCACGCGCGCCGTCACGCCGCTCCACTGCAGACGCGCCCGAGCGCGGCACGGGGAGGAGGAAGGTTCAGGTTTCAAGGTTTCGGGGTTTACTGTTTGAAGGTTCAGGGTTTTGAGAGGGGTTAGCGATGGTGTGGCTGGCTAGCTTGTGGTGGCGGCCCATTGGTCTCCTTCCCACTGTCTCGCCCGGACTCTTTGTCCTCCCCTGTTTCTCCCCCCTCATCCCCCTCAAAACTCGTCTACTCCCCCCCGCATCCCCCCTCCCCCCCCCCCGCTCCCCGTCTGCACCTACTTTGGTTTCCCCCATTTCCCCTTTCCCCCGTGCCCCCGCGCGCGCCAGGGCGCGGACGTGGGCGACATGAGCGAGGCGGAGCTGGAGGCCGCCATCGAGGCGCTCTTCGCGCAGCTCGCCAGCGACCTCGAGGCCGACGCTGACGTGGACGGCACTGGCTTCGCTGCCGGCGACGCGGACGTGGAGCTCGACGAAGATGAGCTGGCGGCGCTGCAGGCTGAGCTGGACGCGGCGCTGGCGGAGATGACGGCGGAGGTGGAGAGGGAGGAGGGCGAAGGGGAGGGGGAGGTGGATGAGGAGGAGAGAGCGCTGGTAGCGGAGCTGGGCCTTGAGGAGGAGGAGGAGGAGGGGGAGGACGACGACGAAGGGGAGGAGGAGGAGGAAATGGGGGAGTGGGAGGGCGGGATGGGGAAGCAGACAGAGGCGGGGCATGAGGGGGCAGAGCTGGCAGCGAAGGGGTTGAGAGAGGATGGGAGAGGGGAAGCAGGGCGAGGGGAAGCAGGGCGAGGGGAAGAAGGTGGGAAGGATGGAGGGTTGCGTGACGTGGTAGAGGTGATAACAGGTGTTGCAGGCGCAGGTGCTGTTGGCGCAGGTGCTGTTGGGGCAGGTGCTGTTGGGGCAGGTGCTGTTGGTGGAGCTGTAATGGGAAGGAGGGATGAGGTGGAGGAGGAGGCACGTGTTACAGAAGAGAAAGGGCAAGGACTAGCGGGGGCAGACAAAGGGGGAGCAGCAAGAACACGGGAGGAAGGGGCGGGCGAGGGGAGGGGCAAGAGGAAGGAGAAGCAGCAGCAGGAAGGGGTCCCTGTTGGTGAGAGCGATGAGGATGACTGGGAGGAGGAGGTGGAGGAGGGCGAAGCGGAAGAGGAGGAGGGCAGCGTGGCGAGGGGAGGGGCAAGGCGCGAGGTGCAGCTGCAGCGGTGGCAGCTAAAGAAGCTGGCGCTGGCAGTGCAGAAAGGACGGCGACACATCAATGTGCGCCGCCACCCACACCCCCATGCTCCCCTGCATACACCTGTGCACATGCGCTGTCCCACTCATCCATGCACCTCCTTCACGCCCCACTCTCGCCCCTCGCCCTGCCATCGCTACTCCGCCACTCTATTCATCTCTCTTCCTCTTCAACCCACCCTGCACCTCTCTCTGCCCCCCCTTCCCCCAGGTGAAGGCGCTAGCAGCGGAGGCGCACCTGCCGCGCAGGGACGTGCTGGCGTTCCTTCGCCACCCCCCCGACATCTCCGCCCTCTTCCCCGACCTCCCCTCGCCCGCCGCCCCCGACTCCTCGCCCCGCGCCCCTGCTGACGGTGCTGGGGCGCAAGAGGGGGCGGTGGCGGGGCAGAGTGGGGGAATAGGGGGGGAAGGGGAAGAGAAGGGTGCGGGTGAGAAGGGTGGAGGGGAGGGTAAGGGGGCGGACAGATTGGGAATGAGTGAGGAGGGGAAGAAGGAGTGGCAGGAGCGGTGGATGAAGGGGAAGAGGATTCGGCAGGAGCACCTGAGCACACTGGAGGCTGTTTACCAGCGCAGCAAGTACCCCACGGTGAATGCCCCTGTCTCCCTCCTCTTCCACTCATCCCACCACCCTCACTTGCTGTGCCTCCGTACTGCAGCTCCCCTCGTGCTGCTGTGCCTTGACTCCATGTTTCTCTCACTCTCTTCCCATCCCCTCCTTTCCCTCCACGCCCTTTTGAATTCCCCCTCCCCTGCCCTTCCCTCCGCTGTGCTCCCCTCCCCCTCCCCCTCCCCCCAGAACACGGTGGTGGCAAACCTGGTGAGTGTGACCCATCTGCCGCGGCGCCGCATCCTGCAGTGGTTTGAGGACAGGCGGGCGCGCACAGAGACAGGCAGGGCGCACAGGGAGATGAGGGGCACGCGCAGGTAGCGTGCTCGTGTAGAAGCAGGACAAGACCGGTGCTGGGTATGCCTTGGGTGGGGCGGAGGTGGGCTGGGGAGGGCTCAATGTCTCAGAGTAATGAATTGACTAGAATAGAAGGTACAGGGTGTTAAATTATATATTGAGTTATATAATTGTTAGGCTTGGTAGGTTACCAAACTTAACTGTAGAGGGTACAATCCCCTCCTTGTATGCCTCTCTTTCTATTCCAACTCTCTTTTCTCTCCTCAACTTTTCTCCTTCCTAAACCTCACGCCTCTCCATGGCTCCTGTCAGAAACCCAGTCACTAACCACTAGGTTAAAAGGGCTTGATTAAATAGCGGGTAAGTGCGCCCATAACCCCCCAGGCTCTGCACCTGTGGCCCTTCCCCGATGATCTTTTCAAGGGTTACCCAGCGGGTCACTCGACACCCCCCCTCGCTGGGATAGGTGGAAGACACGAGCGCCTGAGCAGCGCTAGCACTGGGACTAGAACCCAAGACCTTTGGCTATGGTGTACCGTAATTCTCAAAACTAGAATTGAATAATAATAGAGTTAGAGAGTACATGCACATATACCTAAATGTTGTACCCTCTAGGAGGTTACCCTATACAGTCTATACAAACATGATCAATAAACATGTTTGACACACCCCCTGGACTGCATAGGGGAATGTCCTAAACAAGCAGCTCAGGGCGGCACTACTAGTCCAGCCTCTGAGACAAGGGTCTAAAAGACCAGTCAGAAGGAGTACAGACAAGACAAGAACAAGTACAGGGCGGCACTACTAGTCCAACCACTGTGAGAGGACACAAGCCCAGTCTGAGTGTACACATATATATAGGACAGTACAAAGTCAAGGCCCGAGTAAGTGAGGAACTACAGGAACCAGACCAAGCTGTACACAGTGCCGCTGATGATCTTTAGGCGCAAGCGCCTTCGTAAAGATATCAGCTGTGTTGGCACCGGAGGCCAAGTGTACTACGCGAGCCTGGCGACGCTGCTGGAGCTCGCGAAGGAGGAAGTACCGCAGCTGGATGTGCTTCGCTCTACCCTCGAGTCGAGGCTCCTGACACAGGAGGATCATGGCCCTGTTGTCAGCGTACAAGACCGGGGCAGAGCTAGGCCGCTCACCTAAGTCAGTGAGCAAGAAGGTCAGCCAGCGGAGCTCCTGTGGCGCCATGGCACCGGCGTAGATCTCAGCCTCACAGCTGGACTGGGCAAAAGACGAGGAGCGGGTAGCTCTCCACGAGACAGCACCTGAGCCAAGGCTAAAGCAGTAGCCCTGGGAAGACCTGAGCGTCTCGGCGTCGTCTGCCCAAGAAGCGTCTGTGTGTCCAGTAAGGACCACTGGCCTGCGTCCGCCTAGCACTAACCCCATGCCCGATGTACTTGCAAGATAACGCAAAACCCTCTTAGCGGCAGACCAGTGCTGAGGTCGGTGTCTGCCTGTGGCCACGAAACGAGCCAGGATGCTGAGAGGGTATGCGAGATCTGGGCGAGTGCAAGTCATCAGGTACATGAGGCAACCCACTAGCTCAGCGTAAGGACCACTGGGATCTACCGACTCCTCCGGAACTGGAGCGGAAAGTCTGTGGTCCAGAGGAAGAGGGGTGGGCTTTGCGGAGGAGAACTGAAGGCCGAACCTCTGAAGGACCTGGCGCACCAAGTGTGACTGAGTCAGGGTGATGGTGCGCGCGGCTCTGTCCCTGGAGATCTGCAAGCCAAGGTAACGGCGCAGCTCTCCAAGGTCAGTGCAGGTGTGTCTCTTCAGCAGCTCTGCCTTCACGGCGGCCAGTGCGTCCCTGTCAGCTGTGGCAAAGACCAGGTCGTCTACGTAGACAAGGATGTAGAACGGGGTCGGGCCAGCACGAACGAAGAGCGAGGGGTCTGCAGAGGACGGAAAGAACTGCAGGTCAGCAAGGGTAGCACGCAGCGTGTCGTGCCACTCACGAGGCGCCTGGCGCAGGCCGTAGACTGGACGCCGCAGAAGCCACTGGGTCCCAGGGGGGAAAGTGCTAGTAAAGCCCTGAGGACGACGCAGGTAGACCTGCTCGTGAAGGCTGCCCTGAAGGAAGGCAGTGGAGAAGTCGAGGGAGTGAAGCTCGTAGTCACGCTGAGCCGCTACGTGTAACAGAACCCGAAGAGTAGTCATCTTCGGCGTAGGAGCGAAAGTCTGAAAGAAGTCCACCCCCTCGCGCTGACTGAAGCCTCTAGCCACGTAGCGCGCCTTGAACACAGGCGGCTCTCCAGGAGGGCGCTTCACCTTGAAGAGCCAACGGCCATCGACCACGTTCACCCCAGGTGGGGGAACTGCGTCGACGAAGGTGCCGGTGGATCTCCAAGATGCCATCTCCTGTTCCATGGCAGCTATCCACTGAGAGGCCCAGGGTCCCGAAACCGCCTCAGCGTAAGTACGAGGGGTCGGGATGTCGAAAGCGTCTGGGTCACCCTCAGGGACTAGCAGCATGGAACAGAGATGGGGAGCAGCCTCGGAGAGGAAAGCAAGCTCGAACTAGTGGTCCTTCAGGACGTCACTGCCGAGGGCAAGAGCACCCCCGACAGACGGAGGACAGGCAGGGTCGGAGACCAGAGCGGTAGCGTAGTCAAGGCGGCGGGTAGAGGCGAAGTCAGCGACCGCAGCGACAAGGGCGTCAAGACTCGACACTGGAACAGACGGGTCTGTAACCAGAGAGGCCAGGACCCGAGGAACAAGAGGACGAGCGGCACGAAAGTAGTCAGACAGAGGAGGAGACGCAACAACAAGAGAGGACGGAGGAGGAGACGGGAGGAGGGGAGGACGAGACACGTGGGACCGGAGCAACATAGGGTGAGAGCGCGGGACGGGGGAGACAGGACGAGCACGGGAGGGGCGGCGAGACCAGACGTGAGAGGGAGGCGTCGGGTCAGGAGACAGAGGAGGGGACACTGGTGGGGAACGAGGGGGAAAACGAGCCGGGGACAAGTCCGGCAGAGGGAACACGGGGCCGTAGACGGGAAGAGGAGGAGACGGCAGGTGAGGAACAGGCGCAGGGTCAGGGGACGGAAGGCCGAGCAGACGGAGGGCGGACACCGGCGGGGACTGCTGCTGCGGCGACACAACACCAACGCCAGGGCCACAAGCTGCGCGACTGCTACCTCCCGAACCCTCCACACCGGCACCCCCAGAAGGGACACCCCCAGAGCACGAAACCCCGCCGGCACCGGTACCACCCCCAGGCCCGCCGGGACAAGCCACGACAGGAGCCCCGGGACGAGTACCCACCTCAACGCCAGCACCCCCAGAGTCCACAAACAGCGGCAGCGACGACTGCGGCGGCGGCGGCGGCGGCTGCAGCGACGGCCGCGACGGCGGTGGCGGCGGAGACGACGGCTGCAACGGCGGCGGCGGTGGAGACGACGGCTGCAGCAGCTGCGGCGACGGCGGCTGCGGAGGCGGTGGAGGAGGAGACACCGTGGGAGGGACAGATGGCGAGGACTGCGCCGGAGGACTACCAGAGTCAGAAGACTCGTCGACCGGGACGACCGACGGGAGGGGGGTGACGTGAGACACACCAGAGGGGGCCGGACGGGGGGGCGGGGGGGGGGGAGGGGCAGGGACCACCGGGGAAGGAGGGACCAGGAACAGGGGGGGAGTAACCGGGGGACCACGGTGGGGGAAGCGGCGGTAGAAGGAGACGGACTCGTCAAAGGTGACGTCGCGAGAGTGAAAGAAGCGGTGAGACGGCGGGTGGTAGAAGTGCCAGTCGGACGCGTCAAGGGGGAAACCGAGGAAGACGCAGGGGAGGGTGCGGGCAGTGAGCTTGTCCGTGCCAGAGGCACGAACGTGAGCAAGGCAGCCCCAGACGTGGAACGCAGACGCGTCACCAGGGGACCCGGTCCACAGAAGGGTCGGCGAAACCGGCGGCCGCTGGGGGTGCGGCCACAGGTTAAGCTGGTGAGCGGCGTAGCGCACGGCGAACGGCCACAGAAAATGGGGTGCACCGGCGTGGATCATGGAGGTGCGAGCCACCTCCATGACCAAACCGATGCGTCGCTCAGCGACCCCATTCTGCTGCGGGGAGTCCGGCAGGGTAAACGTCTGGGTGATGCCCTCCGCACGACAGAAGCGACCAAGGACACCTGAGGCAAACTCGCCACCCCGGTCGGAGTGGAGGCGCAAGGCAGGGAGACCGCGGTGGACGCGAGCAGAGACAAGCCAGGGGATGAGAACGTCAGGCACGTCGGCCTTCCGCTCCAGGGGAAGACGGTGGTGTAGCGCGTGAAGTCGTCGACAAGCACTAGGAAGAAGCGCTCGCGACGCGGCCCATGGACCGGGGCTGGGCCCCAGACGTCCATGTGCAGAGTCTGCAGTGGTGCGGTGGTAGGGGGAAACGAGGAGGAGTGAGGGGCACGGCGGAGCCGGCCCTCGACACAAGGCGTGCACGGGGGGGCGGGGGAGGAGGGAAACTCGGGGAACGAACCGGGAGACCAAGGACGAGACCGTGCTGGGACATGTGACGCAGACGCGGGAGTGCAGGGGTGACCAAGGCGGTGGTGCCAAAGGAGAGTCGGGTGAGTGAGGGACCGACAGGAGCACGCAGCAGCGACCTGGGTGGACGCAGCGACCGGGGGGAAGACCCAGCCGGGGAAGTCGCGGTGTCAAGTGTGAACAGGCCAGACACCGGGTCCCGGGGGAAAGTGGTAAGGGGGGCACCAGTGGCGGCCTCGGTACAGACAGCATACCGCTCGTGACCAGGGAACGTAGTGGTGACGCCAAGGTCCTGGAGGCAGCCGACACCAACTAGGTTCCTGGAGAACGAGGGGATATGCAGACCTGTGAGCGAACCTGAAGGAACCGCCGGACAGGGAAGGGAGGTGGAACTGCGGGCAACGACGGGACCACCAGAGGGGTCAGCAAGAGTAACTGCAGCGGGAACAGGCAGCGGCGTCAGCGTCGTGGAGTCGCGGAAGAAACACCGGGAGGCGCCAGAGTCCAAGGTGAAGGAAAGTGCAGCAGTCGCGCGAGGCGGCAGTGAAGCGGTGGAAGCACTGAGGCTAAGCAAAGCAGGAGATCCTACGCCTGACGCAGCAGGGGAGGCTACGACAGGCACATCTACACTAGGCAACACAGGGTAATAAGAGGGAAGCACACTAGAGTCATCAGCATACATCACATGCAAGGCTGCTACAATGGCATCCATGTCCAAGTCAAAAATCTGAATGCTACGCCTAAGCAAGCTGTGCCAGTCCGGGAGGTCGGGCGCCGGGCCAAAGCGCTGACGGAAAGGTCGTCCAGACGACGAAAACAGCGAGGAGTGGAATGACCGATTTTACCGCAAACGAAACCGCGGCGAGGACCGGTCTGGATCTGGTACTGACAGCGCCCGCCTCCAGAACCACCACCCGGCGCACCACCACGCGCACGACCACCACCAGCTCCAGGCCACCCAGGCGGGAGAGCACTCGCCTGCCTCGTCTGCGGCGGCTGCTGCGGCTGCTGCGGAGGCTGCGGCTGCGGCGACTGCTGCTGGCTGTGCTGCTGCTGCGACTGTGGAGGCAGCGGGGCAGCTGGACTGGGCAGGGTCCCCACGTCCGCACCGGCACCGGACGACCCGACTCCACCACCACCCCCACCCGCACCCCCGCCGCCTCCGCCGCTCCCAACCTTGGGGCGGCGGCCCTTCCCCGAGCGGGACTGCACTGCAGCAGCAGTCTCAGCCACAGCGACAGAGCCGTCGGAGAAGGTACACTGAGCGGGGGCACAACCCTGAAAGATAGGGACCGGTACTGTACCGCTCGCCTGGGGCGATGGAGCGGTGACGAGTCTCTATAACAGTCAGGGGTGTCAACAAAGTCGGTGAGGGTGAGAGCAGCGGGGTGGATGCTAAGGAACTGGGTCGCGGGCGGCGGCAAGGCGGTCAGGGAGGCGGGTGGCAAGGAGGTAGAGGGTAGAGGTCATGGGAGGCTGGTGGACTCTAAGCTGTGCATCAGTGCAGGCAGCGCGCCAGGTCTCATCGATCGAGCGCAGGTGGGCAGCGAGGTCAGAGACAGTGGGGAAAGACGCAAGGTCAGGAAAGAGCAGGGGGAGGATCAGGCGACCCACTGAGGCAGCAGGAGGGGTGGAATAGCGCTTGATGACAGCGTTGAGGTAGGCCTGGGCGGTAGTAATGGTTCTAAAGCGAGGGCGCTCAGGGGGGGGGAGGGCATTGCTAATGGCGAGCTGAGCAAGGGCATCGCGGGAAAGCCAGACAGAGCGGGCAAGGGCAGCGGCGGCAGTGGACTCGCGCTCAGCGGGCGTGGGATCAGCGGGCAGCACAGCAGGGGGGTCAGGGCAGGGGAGCATACCGTCTAGGTGGGCAGAAAGCGGGTGGCCGTCCTGCCGCTGACCAGTGAGGTGGCGGCGAAGGTCAGCCAACCACGCCTCGAACTCCAGAGGCTGACCCTCAGCATCAAAACGAAGCTCAGCAGCCATCAGGGGCAGTGTAGGACGGTGGAGTGCGGTGTAGTGCTGTGCAGTGCGGTGCAGGGCGGTGCAGTGCGGTGCAGTGCGTGCAGTGCGGTGCAGTGCGGTCCAATGCGGCGCAGTGCGGTGCAGTGCGGTCCAGTGCGGTGCAGTGCGAGCAGTGCGGTGCAGGTGCGGTCAGTGAGGTGCAATGCGGTGCAGGGCGGCGGGGGGAGGAGGGGCAAAGGGTGGGGACGGTACCAGGAAGTATGTAGGGCCGGGGCAGGCGCGACGGGACGGGCAGGGCAGGCGGCGACGGGGCCGGGCAGGCGCGACGGGGCCCGGGCAGGCGCGACGAGGGGCCAGGCAGACGCGACGGGGCCGGGGGCGGACGGGGCGGCTGCGACGGGGCCGGGCGGCTGCGACGCGGGGCCGGGCGGCTGCGACGGGGCCGGGCCTGCGACGGGCCGGGCGGCAGCGACGAGGCCGGGCGGCTGCGACGGGGCCGGGCGGGCGTGACGGGGCCGGGCGGGTGCGACAGGGGCCGGGCGGCTGCGACAGGGGCCGGGCGGGCGCCACGGGGCCGAGCGGCTACGACGGGGCCGAGCTGGGGCGACGGGGCCGAGCAGGTGTGACGGGGCCCAGGAGGGGAGCGACGGGGCCCAGGAGGGGCCTACAGGGCCCTGGAGGGGCGCGACGGGGCCCAGGAGGGGCGCTACGGGGCCCAGGAGGAGCGCGCAGGGCCAGGGGGGCGCTAAGGGGGGCCAGGAGGGCGCGACGGGGGCCAGGAGGGGCGGACGGGGCCTAGGGAGGGGCGCGACGGGGGCCCAGGGAGGGGCGCGACGGGGGCCTGGGAGGGGCGCGACCGAGCCCAGGAGGGGCGCGACAAAGCCAGAAGGGGCGCTACGAAGCCCTGGAAGGGGCGCGACGGGGCCTGGAGGGGCGCTACGAAGCCTGGAAGGGGCGCGACGGGGCCTGGGAGGAGCGCGACGGGGCCTGGAAGGAGCGCGACGGGGCCTGGAAGGAGCGCGACGGGGCCTGGGAGGAGCGCGACGGGGCCTGGGAGGAGCGCGACGGGGCCTGAGAGGAGCACGACAGGGCCCAGGAGGGGCGCTAAGGGGCCCAGGAGGGGCGCGACGGGGCCCTGGAGGGGCGCTACAGAGCCCAGGAGGGGCGCGACGGGGGCCTGGAGGGGCGCTACGAAGCCCTGGAAGGGGGCGCGACGGGGCCTGGAGGGGCGCTACGACGACCTGGAAGGGTCGCGACGAGGCCTGAGAGGAGCACAACGGGGCTAGGGGGGGGAGTCGCGACTGGGCTCAGGAGGGGCGAGGCTAGGCTAGGAGACGCGACGGGAGGAGCGGAAGCGGTAGGTGGGGGGGGGGGGGGGGGGGGGGGGGGGGGGTGGGGGTCGAAACCTACGCGTGATACCATCTCAAAACTAGAATTTGAATGATCATAGAGTTAGAGAGTACATGCACATATACCTAAATGTTGTACCCTCTAGGAGGTTACCCTATACAGTCTATACAAACATGATCAATAAACATGTTTGACAAACCCATCAATCACAAGACACATGAGCGACCAAGCTGGTTCTGGTTCTAGTACTGGGAGTCGGTAAGAAAATTCATTCAGTGTTCAGGAACCCATTTTTGTTGCTGGTACTGAAAACCACTCGGTAGGAATACGCCCTTATGGTAGATTGGACATTTTTTCAGGAAACGTCCAAACAGTTACAGATGCCAGCCCACCATGCCTGCACTCGAGATCGATCTAGCAGCACGTACCTAGCTACTATACAGTACAAAGTAAAGCCATGGCTACATGCGCTTGCTTGACTTTGTTGACTGGCTTTGACTTCAGAATTGGGGTCCTGAGTTCGCCTTGATCGCAGCAGGGAGGTCTGGGTCAGCTTTGTCTACAGGCAGGGAGTAGGGCAGAGCAGGCATGCCCGCAACATTGCCCCCACCCCAGGCGGCAAACTCTGCACAAACCGCGCCCCATTCCCGCAACAAATCACCACTTGTTTACAAAATAACTCTCGCCCATCCGCATTCGCCGTTACGATGTCCGCCGCACCTGCTACAGTGCTGTGGTACACGTTATTGAGCGATCTCACGGACGCGCCTCCACGTGCATAATACACGTGTCAGTCCAGTTGGCAAAGAGATTGTTCACCAGGTGGCACAAGCGACGCCTGGCCAGTGCAGCACAGGAGCCGATGGCCCCTCAAAGAAATTACCGAAGTAGGTGACACGCGCAGTGTCAGGCTCTTGACCACCAGTGCCCGCGGGGCGTCGGGTCAGCGGGGGGTGGTGCTGACGTGGCGTTGGCGGAGGCGAGGGGGGAGGAGGTAGTTTGGAGAGGTGGCAGTGCGAGACGGTGACGGCGTCGGAGGAGGCGAGCAGGTCGACGGTGCCCAGCGGGGCATTGTGCACGAGGCAGTGGTCCACCCACACCATGCTGCTGGCTCTGATGGCAATGCCGTCCAGCGTGCCGTAGGGGGCTACATCCACCTCGCCCACTGACAGCACAGGGAAGAGGGGGGGAAAGAATAAGGGGTTGAGTTGAGTGGTTCACCACACTACGCGGAAAGCTTTCTGGAGGCGATGCCGTTCAGCGTGCTGTTGGTTGCTCCACTCACGTCGGCCACTGGCAGGGGTGGAGAGGTGGGGGAGGACAGAGGGAAGGGATGGAGGGAGTAAGGTGAGGTAAGGATGGGAAAGAACGCGGGACGAAGGGAGATGAGAAGGGGGCGTCGGGAGGGGATTGGGAAAAGGAGTGAAAGAGGAAGAGGGAGAGGAAGGGGGAGTACATGCTGTGAATGTTGCGCACTGCACACTGCAAAGAGAGGCAGCGAGAAGGGGGGGGAGAAAGCAACAACTGAGTTGTGCACTCACCTTCAATATTGTGTATAATCACATGCTCCGCAGATTGCACCACAATCGTTTCTCCCCTGATTTGAACCTGCCCCCCTCGCCCATCAATCGTTGTGTACGACGATAGGAGCAGTCTTCCTTTGAGATGAATTGTCATAGACGATTCAAACCGAATGTACACTCCGTCCCTGTACTGCTGCAAACCCCATCTTAGCGAACCCTCCGCAGGCGAGATGATGCTATCGCTGGCGTTGGTAACCACATACTCGCTGCGCCCGTATCCCCCCAGTACCCCCCGCGCAAACCCTAGAGCGCATTCGTGCAGCGGCGCATCCGAATCGAACGCGCACTGCGCGTCCGGGATGTCCCGGGCGGGGGAACGCCGGGGATGGGGGGAGAATTTGCAGCCGGCGGGGATGACGCCGGCGGGGACCGAGGGGGAGTGCGCGGGGAAGGCGGGGTATTTATGCTGATATTGGATAAGGGCGCGGGGGGGGGAGAGGGAGATGGCTTTGAAGGAGGGGGAGATTTGGAGAGCGGAGGCGGAGAAAGCGCGGGCGGCTGCATGGGCGGGCGCGCCATGACCCGCGGGCCCGCGGACTGTTGAAGGAATTTCCTTAGAGTCGAATCGGGAGCCCGCGAGCGTGACAGAATACGGCGGAGTGAAAACCGCGCCGCTCCCCTGCGAGTTAAAGACCGCGCCAATTCCCAAGCCCTATCTCCCAGCGATACGACCGCCGAGCCGTCGGATCGCGGCCACGTCCTTCTGCCCGGCGGCGAGAAAAATGTTTCCTTTCTGACCGGACGTTCGCCGCGAACAGCGCCTGGATGCATAGGGCTCGCCAGTTAGAGATCAGGTTGTTCGCGAGGTGACACGTGGCGGCCGCGCATTGGGGGTTGCCGGAGTCGCCTCGAGTCAAACCAGTTCCTAAAGAGCGTCACGGTCAAAGCGGGAGCGGCGTTGCTGCTGGCGCTCTTTAGTGCTGCTGCTCGCGCCACTAGGCGGGCTCGGCAGCTTGGGCGGGCTGGAGCGCGTAGGAGGAGCGGTGAGTTTAGGTGTGCTAGGGCTTTTAGGGGGAGAGGTTGGGCTATTAGGGGACTAGTAGACTTAGTGCCTGAACTGCCCTGGTGCTGTTGGTGCTCGGCGACTTGGGTGCTATTCCCGCTGCTCTTGCTGCTGCCGCTTGTCGCCTGCCGCCTTCCTTCTCTTACTGCTCCCGCCGCCGCCGCTTGTGCTGCTATTGCTGCTTTCCTGCGCCTCCACTGCCGCTACCCCCGCTGCCCCCGCTGCCGCTGCTGTTAGAGCTGCGGGTGCTGACGTGCTGCCTAGAGATCCGGCTCCCGGCCCCCTTACAATCACGCCAGGGAGATACACGTTGTTCAGGTGGCAACTCGATATTGTCACACTCCCGGCGCTGCCAGCGCTGTTGCCCACGACCTCCACTGCCCCGCTATAGCGTCGCGCACTCGCACGTGGTCCAGCCACACCACCGTGCTGTCGATGATGCTCACGCCGCTATTTACGTTGGGGAACTGAACGCTTGCACTGTGGTGGGGGGTAAATCATCAAGGGGAGGAGGGAGGGGTGAAGTTAGTCTCAACTCCAAGAAAAGAATGAAAGTGGTTCCGGGATAACGAAAAAGGGCCAGCTTCGTAGAAAACAATGTTCGAATTTCATCCCACCTTACCTTCAATATTGTGCACAATCACGTTCCGCGCCGTTGCGAACGACAACGGACGATCCAAACAGCCGGACGGCGACTCCCCTCCCGTCGATCGTTGTCCCTGACGGCACGGCTAACGGCGCGGCGAGCAGAACGTCAATTTTCTTCGCGAACGTGATGTAGATGCCGTTGGCACCCCCAGCGGCATACGCGCGCGTTAAGCCCCACCGCAGCGAGCCGTTGGTGCCGACTGGTAGCGAGTCGTCGGCGTTTGTCACCACGTAGACCGGCTTCCCGTTCCCGCCTGTCACGCCGGCAGAGGCGGCGTAACCCACGGCGCAGGTGTGGAGGGGGTTGGTGGTGGTGAAGGGGCAGTCGGAGAGAGAGGAGGAGGAGGACTGCAGAGAACGACTGAATGGTCTCACAGTCTCGTTAAACCGAGATCCGATAGCTGCATCAGGATGATCAGGAGCGTGATCTGTTTGCATATTCCGGTTTTTCCCCCGAAGAAGCCGCGAAACACGGCGAATGGGTTTTTGTGGCGGGTGCGTACGGATGGGGAGCTCAGGGAGTACAGCAATCCCGGGACTGGCGACGACGCGAAGCCAGCGGGGACATGATAGAGGCAGGAAAGGAGAAGAATGACTCGGAGTGCCTGAGAGGCGTGTCTCGGGTTGGACGAGCGACTCATATTTCTCCAAGTACGCGTGACCAGGGTCTATTTGCCAGCATCTGACGCTCGAGACTACGTTTATTCTCTTTTGACAGCGTGCGTGGCGCGAATGCTCTGGTACAAAGGAAGGGAGGAACAGCAGTCGGATCGTGAATGGCCGACGGCAAAGGCTCTCGATGGTGATCAAGTGGATGGGACTAGGACTACAGTCGCTCGGAATGACTGCGATGTGGGGGGTGCTGCGTTGGAGATTATTTGCAGAGGTGCGAAGAACAAGGGGAGGATGAGAAGGGGAGGGAAGGAAAGGCGCGCAAGAAAAAGTTGGGTCACACTGGCAGGGCAAATGCTGTTGCTGTTGCTGATGGGAATTTCTGATGAATTTCATCAAAGGTCTGGTCATGCGGCCCGACTAACCGCGTCGCTTGCGGCTCGAACAGACCACCCAGGGTTCCGACAGGGGCGCTGGTGGTCCGAGCTTCAACCAATATCAGTTGGATGGAAGCTGACACAACCTGACATGTTCAAGTGCGTCGCAGAGTAGTGACTGAATTCCGTAAGCGAACTTCGCCAGAAATTTTGGTTACAAGACTGTGAGCCAAGGAATTGCCCGACCTTCATATACAAAGGCATCACTTAAAGGCGTACAGATTCATGGATATTAACAAGATTGTACACCATTCTTTTTACGGGCTAGCCTTGATTGCTAGCGGCCTTGCCTACATGTAGACCGAAGGCTACACCACTCTTCACATTTCCATTGCCACATGCAAATGCGTGGATCCTACGCCGTTCCACCCACAGGCCCCAGCGTCATGGGGCCTGCCCTCGTTTCCATTAGCAATACAACGGCAGACGCCTCCTGGTGCCTCAGCTATCTCCACACCCACATGCCCACCTTCTCTACATTCCGTCCTCTCTTGCGCTGGTAAGTCCTTTGAAGCAGCTGCGACTCCAGCCCCCAGCCGCTGCTTCTAGGATGGGCACAGCCACAGAATCGTTCCTTTTGCTACCCTTGGATTGCTTCTGCTCCCTCAGCACCCGCAGCACTGTTGGCAGCTTGAGCGGCGCCTGCAGGTGACGCAGCAGTGATGCTGTCATGCAGACTGCTCTGGCGCTGCATCTCATGCACCTGGCTTTGAGCGACATGGGCTTGGTCAGGGGACGAATGTGATTGGTCTAGGGATACAAGTGATCCGTCTGGGGATGGACGAGATTGGGTCCGGCGATGGTGTGCCTCGTCTAGGGAGGGTTCGGGGTCGTGGTGGTGGTGGTGGTGGGGGTGGTGGTGGTGGCTGTGGTGGTGGTGGCTGTGGTGGTGGTGGCTGTGCGTGTGCTGCCCGCCCTCCGACCCCACGGGGTTGGGAGAGGCGCGGGACGGCAGCAGCACGGTGCGGCAGATGGGGCACGAGTTGTGGGCCTTCAGCCACGCGTCGATGCAGTCCTGGCAGACCAGGGGGCACAGGCGACAGCGGCAAGGGGGACGGGGGAAGGGTTGAAGGGCGGAAGAGGGGGAGAGAGGGGGAGGGAGCGATGAGACGATGACAAGGACCAAGAGAGGAAGCGGGGAGCGATGGGCATGAGATGTGTGTGCAAAGCTGGGGCTGTCATGCCACCATCGCAATGGCAAGAACGTAGCAGCGGGACTGGGTACCTACCTGACGCCGTCCATCACCCGAGTACGCAAAGATGCGAGAGACAGTGCGACAAAATCTAGGCTCCTTTGAAACCCTAAAGTCCCTTATTGCTTCGCTCCCTCACAATCCACGCCCTACCGCGCATCCTCGGCCCCTCACCTGATGGAACATGTGGTGGCACGCGTCCAGCACGCGCACCATGTCGCCCTCGTTGTACTCCCCCAGGCACACGATGCACTCGCGCTCGCTCTCGCACTCCCTGCCCACCTTCGCAGCCTCGTACGCCACCACCTGCCCTAGCAGCTTAATCAGCTCCTCGGGAACGCCGTTCCCTTGCCGGCGGTCAACCAGCAGACCGCGTTGCCCGACCGGCCGAAGGTTCTGCGCGGATTCCGCCTGCTGACGCAGGGCGGCGCGGCGGTGCAGCCACGTGGAGCGGGCTTTAGCGAGGGAGAGGACGAGGACGAGGAGGACGAGCAGCACGAGCACGGCGATGACGGCGATGTTGAGCTGGTGCAGCGAGATCACCGACGCGTACGTCATCGTCGTGCCCGCCGCCGCTCTGAGCGGGCGGCGACGCCACCGCGCCGTTCGCCGACGCGTCCGTCGCGATGGCTCCCGACGACATCGTCGGGCATACAGTTTCCTCGACGCTTGCTTCGTCGACGGTAGGCGCTTTCGTGATTTGTCGGGGGATCCGATACTCCCCAAGTCGATGGGAGTCACTCCTGAGCCTTGCTTTCTACTTCCTTCACTATTTCCAACGACTAGACGGCCTCCGACTCCCAACAACGCAAGGGAACGCGACGGCTAACGATATTCCCCTCTCGGCCTGGAACCAGATGCCTACCTTGAACCTAGCGCTATTAGAAGCTAGTACTGTCCTGTACAGAAGACACCGTCCTGCCACCTAGCTGGTACAGTGGAGAGGCAGACACCACCAATCCTGCTCCGCGAAAACAGGGAGAGAGTGTCCTTGTGTTTCGGTTGGAGGTGCTAGGCTGCTGGCAGGGTAGATCTCCATTATGTAGGGTTACGATCTCACGGTTCCATCGCCTTGAAGGTTTTGCTGCCCGTTGGCACCATCCATAGTATCCCTCCCCTCAATTTCGCCAACCCCAGCTTTTTTAAAGCCGCGGTACACATTCAACGCGTCTCGGGAAAGAAATGTGGAGGTCAGAAAAGGGGGACGAAAGTGATTGGAGGGCGAGAGGCGAAATAAAAGTATTGACGCGCATTGAGTTGAGTTTCGTCGAGGGGAAATTTCGACACACGATACTGGGGGAAATGGAATTGCGTTGGGGGGATTGGATTTCGCGGGGTGGGGGGAGGGGAAATAGAGTTGGGAAAGTTAGAATTGCGAGGGGTGGGGGAAGAATTGATCGTGATGGGGAAATTGTGAGGGATGGGTGGGGGGGGAATCGAACTGACAAGCGGAACGAAATGCGAAGGGTGGGGGGGATCGAACTTGACTGGGGGGGAATTGGACTAGAGAGGGGAAGGGGGAAACGGAAATGACGGGGGGAGCTGGGCAAGCGAGGGGTGGCAGGGCGAATCAAATTTTGGGGGGGCAGGGGGGGCTTCGAAGTTGGGGGGCCAGGGGAATCGAATTTGACGGGACAGGGGGGGGGGGGGGGGGAGTTTCGAGATTGCGGGGCCAGGGGGAATCGAGATCGTTGGGGGAAGGGACGATCGAAATCGTGGGGGGAAGGAGGCTGGGAAAACGTGAGGAAAGGGGGATGAGTCGAGAGGTGGCAATTGGGATTATCATTACACAATTGCCACAATCCCCCTTCAAATGTTTATCTGCAGGTTGCGAGATCTCGCTACCTCCAGCAGGAATCACTCAGTTACCACCTTTTCAAATGTTTATCACTTGAAACAAATTGAAGTGAATGTGTACCGCGGCTTTAACTGAGGGTACTTACCGTGAATGACTTTTCCGCCGACCACTACATGAACTGGCGGTTGTGGGAATTTCACCACCAGAAAACCACTTGGAAACTGTTCGTGCGAGAATCGGAGTTTTTCGTCCGATTAGGCTTGAGCCCTGGGTTCAGTTCAGAAACGAGCCACGTGGTACCCCGCTTGTTTCGCGCACAGAACTGTACTGGATTCAGGCCAGGTAGGGGGAGTCGCTGCGTCAGGCACCACCCCATGGTGGTGAGGTCAGGCGGGAATTGGTTTGGGCTAACGCGGGGAACCTGCGCAGCCTTGCTTGGTTTGGTGGGAACCGCTTCCCCGCCAAACCGAACCCTCCAGCTGGTCGCGGCAGTGACACGGGCGGGCTGGTTTGTTGTTTCGCGAGGCATGAATGCACCCAGCCTAGCCAATGCCTCTAACGAAATATTTGCGCTGGCTTCTCCAGCACATAGACTGGTGCAGTACTGTATATCACGAAGGAAAATGTATGCACAGGAGTTATGCCCTGTCAACCGAGATAGTCACAGCCCCAAATAGATGAAAGTGGCTCTGAATACCAGGTGTTATGAATGAACAAGCAGAGTAGCGCGGAAATGAATAACGAAGTGTTCACTCAATGAATGACGATACAAGGAATGGCAAGCCAAGATATAGGAACACCAGAGCTAGTCTAACCCTGCGATGGTAAGGTTCGGGAAGGAGATCGAAGGGTCTCGAAGTGACGAAGCGAGGCCCGGAGAACTCCCGAAGGTCGAACTGAAAGGTCTGGAGAAGCCGAGGCGGTTCTGTCAGAAGGTCTGGAACAGTCCCGAGGCTTCGGGTGTGTTCGAGCGTACGCGATAGCAGTACCGCTCGGTAAGGAATGGAAAATTCCTTACAGGGTTTTTAGTTGTTCGGTTACTGTTACTAGCTATCCGCGTACAGTAATCACGTTTAGCGCACTGAGAGGAGGGTTTTGTCGTTTTTTGAGCAGCGAGAGGAGGTTTAGCGTTGATTGAGGTTAATGATTCTCTCATTTGACCACGTTTCACTATTTCATTGGTTTGACACTGTCCCTCGGCATTTTGCTGTTCTCAGCAACTGTTCACGAAAATCTCTGTCAACTACGAAGCACGTCGCTGAACGAACCTGGAAACAGAATGAGCACCGGGTACCGTCACTTTCTGACGGCAAAATTAACAGCGAACTTAGATTCTAGACGGATAAATCATGATGACCGTCTGGCAAAATGTATGGTGCGACCCTTCTGACGGGTTTGTGACTCGAGCGATTTGCGTGTCAGAAGAAATCGCATGTGCGATTTCTTCTATTGAAACCCAACTTGTTTTTCAAGTTGGGACCAGGTTTGCTTCTTGGGTGTCATGGGGGAATCGCACATGCGACAACTGTACGATAACCATAATCGTCGTCACATGAGGAAGTGAACAGTCGTTCCGCCCCGGAAAATTTCGACGCACAAACTGTTTCATAATCCATTTAGAATAGAGCCTGTTGCCCCCCCCCCCTCTCTCCCCCCCCAAAAAAAACCCCAACTCTTCTTCAAACCAAGCCCATTTTCTCCTTCAAGCTGGGTCCAACTTGAATGGGGTTTGCTATTTTAGCATGGGGCTTTGATGTTGGCTTGGACGTACAGTAAGGCCAGTCAAGATAATGTAAGGAGAGCTACGCAATCAAGGTCCTAGAAAGTGAGAAGCTACAGGAACTAGACCAAGATGTACACAGTGCCACTGATGATCTTTTGGGCGCAAGCGCCTTCGTAAAGATATCAGCTGTGTTGGCACCGGAGGCCAACTGTACTATGCGGGCCTGGCGGCGCTGCTGTAGATTGCAGAGGAGGAAGTACTGCAGCTGGATGTGCTTCGTTCTGCCCTCGAGTCGAGGCTCCTGACACAGAAGGATCATGGCCCTATTGACAGGGTACAGGACCGGAGCAGAGCTAGGCCGCTCACCTAAGTCTGTGAGCAAGAAAGTCAGCCAGCGCAGCTCCTGTGCCGTCATGGCCCGGGCGTAGAACTCAACCTCACAGCTAGACTGGGCAACAGATGACGAGTGGGTGGACCTCCACGAGATGGCGCCTGCACCAAGGCTGAAGCAGTACCCTTGAGAGGACCTGGGCGTCTCATCGTCGTCCGGTCCATGCCCGATGTACTTGCTAGATAACACAAAACCCTCTTAGCGGCCGACCAGCTACCTCCGGGACACTCCACGCCAACACCCGTGAGCGAGAATACTCTCCAACGCCGCGGCCACCCCAAAGACTGCCAGGACGAGCCACGACAGTAACTCAAGGACTAGCACCCCCAGAACCAGCACCCCCAGAACGAGAACCCTCTCCAGAACCGGTGCCACCCTTAGGACCACCGGGACAAGCCACGACAGGAACCCCTGAACTAGAAACCTCCTCAACGCCTGCACCCCTAGAGCTCGCGGACCCTTGCCGCGGCTGCTGCTACGGCAGCGGCGACGGCGACTTCTGCGACGGCGGAGGAGGAGACACCGGAGCGGAGACATGTGGCGAGAACGGCGCCGCGGGGCCACCAAAGTCAGCCGACTCCTCGACCGGAACAACCAATGGGAGGGGAGTGACGTGAGATAGACCAGACGGGAAGAATGGGGAAGTAGAGGAGCACGGGCTACCGGGGGGATGGGAACCAGAAACAGGGGCGGGGAAACCGGGAAACCGCGATGAGGAAAGCAGTGGTAAAAGAAGACACACTCGTCAAAAGTGACGTCACACGAGTGAAAGAAGTGGTGGGACGGCGTGCGATAAAGTGACTGTCAGACGCGTCGAGGGGGAAACCGAGGAAGACACAGCGGACAGTGCGGGCAGTGAGCTTGTCCGTGCTAGAGGCACAAACGTGAGCAAGGCAGCCCCAGACGTGGAACGCAGACGCGTTACCAGGGAACCACATCCAAAGGAGGGTCGCTGAGAGTGCGGCCACATGTTAAGCTCGTGAGCGGCGTAGCGAATGATGAACGTCCACAAAAATTAGGGTGCACCGGCATGGGTCATGGAGGTATGAGCCACCTCCATGACCAAGCTGATACGTCGCTCAGCGACCCCATTTTGCTGCGGGGAGTCCGGCAGGGTGTACAACTGGGCGATGCCCCCTGCACGACAGAACTGGCCAAGCCGATCAGAGGCGAACTCGCCGCCACGGTCGGAGTGGAGACGCAGCACAGGGAGGCCGATAAGAACGTCAGACGCGTTAGCCTTCCGCTCCAGAGGAAACACCGTGGTGTAGCGCGTGTAGTCATCGACAAGCACTAGAAAGTCGCGCTTTGACGCGGCCCAGGGACGCGGGCTTGGCCCCGGATGTCCAGGTGCAGGGTCAGGAGTGACGCAGTGGTAACGAGGGCAAGGAATTGGTCGCGGGCAGTGGCAAGGCGGCCAGGAAGGCGCGTGGCAAGGAAGTAGTGGGTAGCGCCGAGGGGGGTAGGCAGTACAAGGAGCTGAGCCTCTGTTACATGATCGAATGTGTCGAAGAAAAGTTGCACTATCGATTGATACAAGGCACTTTTATACTTCCAAAGTACATCAGCTAACCAGGTTTATCATATCCAAAGGGAATAGACCCTTCAAGAAATAGAATCACCCTGCGTATAACCACGCGAGGCTATTGGCTTTAAGGGATTACGGCAGGATTACGCTAGATATAGCGCGCCAGTACATCCCGAGCCTGGTCGGTGATATAATTATAATAACAGAATAAACCGAAGGATAATGGAAAGGGAGAAATAGGAAACCAAATGAGATGTGAGAAAAAGAGGAATGAAATAGCAAGGAAATATAGAAAGGGAAATTGGTGTAACGGGGTCGTACTCTCACAGCCTCAGTGCTAGCAGCGCGGTAGCTAGCCTCTAGTGCGCTCAGTTGAGTGGCGAGATCGGCGACAGCGGGAAAAGACGCAAGGTCAGGGAAGAGCAGGGGGAGGAGGAGACGACTGGCAGAGGAAGAGGAGGGGATGAAATAGCGTGCAATAACAACATATAAGTACGCTTGCGCAGTATCTAGGGCCTGGTAGTGGGGACGTTCAGACAGGGGGAGGGCGCGACTGATAGCA